TCTAACCAAAAGAATATGGCGAAGGGAAAAGACTTCACTTGCTTGAGTAGATTATAAAAGTCTGTGAGTTTCATCTTGCTGAGAAACTCCTTTACTGTCTTTGATGCAGCAAACTGCCATGTTGGAGAGACCTATGTGGTAAAGAACGGAGAGGTCTCCCCTATCCAACAGCCGGTGAGGGTCTGAGGCCCTCAGTACAACAACCCTGAGGGAACTGCTGCTGCTGCTAAAAAAATGTAAGTTTGAAAATAGATCCTATCCTAGTTGAGTCCAGATGAGCCCGACTCTTGCCAACATCTTTATTGCAGTCTTGTAGACACCCTAAAGTAGATGACCCAGCTTGCTGTGCTTGGGTTGCTGACCCACAGAAACTCTGAGATGCTGTGAATTGTTTCAATCTTCTTGTTTTAGGGTAATTTGTTATGTAGTGGGAGATAATACAGGAGAAGGAAATGGCAACCCACTCCAGTATTCTTGCCTAGAGAATCCCATGAACAGAGGAGCCTGGTGGGCTACTGTTCCTGAGGGAACTGCTGCTGCTGCTAAAAAAATGTAAGTTTGAAAATAGATCCTATCCTAGTTGAGTCCAGATGAGCCCGACTCTTGCCAACATCTTTATTGCAGTCTTGTAGACACCCTAAAGTAGATGACCCAGCTTATGCTGTGCTTGGGTTGCTGACCCACGGAAACTCTGAGATGCTGTGAATTGTTTCAATCTTCTTGTTTTAGGGTAATTTGTTATGTAGTGGGAGATAATACAGGAGAAGGAAATGGCAACCCACTCCAGTATTCTTGCCTAGAGAATCCCATGAACAGAGGAGCCTGGTGGGCTACTGTTTGTAGGGTCACACAGAGTCAAACATGACTGAAGCAACTTAGCATGCATGCATGCATTGGAGATGGAAATGGCAACCCACTCCAGTATTCTTGCCTGGAGAATCCCAGGGACAGAGGAGCCTGGTGGGCTGCAGTCTATGGGGTTGCACAGAGTCGGACACAACTGAATCGACTTAGCAGCAACAGCAGGAGATAATACATTGCAGGCATTTGGAAATGTTAACTGCCCAATAACTGGAGACCTGGGGGCCCATGGCAAATTACAGCCTCCTCTGCCAAGTGTTAAAAACACCACTGATCCCCCTTAGAAGGTGACTTCTTTTTTAAAATAAATATTTATTTTTATTTATTTATTTGTACTGTTTCTTCATTGTAGCCTGTGGGATCTTGTTAATAGTTGGCATGTGGGATCCAGTTCCCTGACCAGGGATTGAACCCAGGCCCCCTGCATTGGGAATGTGGAGTCTTCGCCACTGAACCACCAGGGAAGTCCCAGAAGGTAACGTCTTGCAGCTCCATTCACTGGGAGAAGAAGGAACCCCAGGTTCTAATTAGCTCATTATTCAGGCTACCCACTAGTGCTCAGTGTTATTTTCAGACAGTTCTGCTTCTTGTAATACAAAGCTAATATTAACTCACTATAGTGAGTTAATGAAGTTAGGACAGTGGGTTATAAACCCCCTTATGAAGGGGTGTGTTTTCCTAGACTCCTGAAACCTCACTATGAAGACAGTTGTTAAAGGCACCAAATAAAATTAGAGAAAAAAGTTTCAAAGAAAATGTTAGTATCTTAATTTAGAATTTTGTGACTTTTCAAAGGGGAGGAAACAGGAAGCTGTAGGTAAGCTGTGGTAGGAGTGAAGGCTGATTTCTAACCAAATAAATGTCGAGAGGAAAAAACACAAGAGAGAAAATTAGTAAGTTTGGAGACAAAGCAGTCAAAAGCAACAAGTGGTCTCTTTGTATCTTGGTTTAACACTAGAAAAGTGTGAACATGCCCTAGATGTTTGGTGACGGTAAGAATTATTATGATTTTTAGAAATGATATTATAATTATGAAATTTATGAAGTTATTTTTAATGATATAGTAAAAATATTACAGATGAAATTATATATTTATAATTTTGTTTAAAATATTATGCATGTACTGGGGGGAACTAGGTGGGAGTATAAATGATGCAAGGCTGATTCCAGCTATATGACATGGGAAAGGCAAAACTACAGACAAGAAAACCTAGTGGTAGCTGGTGGCATGGGTAGGGAGATAAATAGGCAGAACACAGGATTTTTAGGGCAATGAAAGTACTCTGTATGTTATAATAGTAATGAATCTACGTCATCATGTGCGTGCGTCCTCAGTCATGTCTGACTCTTTCCAACCCCATGGACTGTAACCTGCCGGGTTCCTCTGTCTGTGGAATTATTCAGGCAAGAATATGCCGTGGAATTATTCAGGCAAGAATATGGGGGTGGGTTGCCATTTCCTACTCCAGGAGATCTTCCAGACCCAGGGATCGAACCCCTGTCTCCTGTGTTTCCTGTATTGGCAGGCGGATTCTTTACCAATGTGCCACCTGGGAAGCCATATGTGTCATTATACATTTGATCAAAACATAGTATGTACAACATCAAGAGTGAATACTAAGGAAAACTGGACTTTGTAACTATGATGTGTCAATGTCGGTTCATCCTTGGTAAAAAATGTACCATTCTGGTGAGTGGTGTTGATAATTGGAGGATAAGTGTTGAAAATCTCTGTACCTTCCTCTCAATCTTGTTGAAAATCTAAAACTTTTCTAAGACAATAAACTCTTTAAATATATATATATATAAAGCAAAAGACAAAACCTGTTCAGTAGAAGGGCTTAATAGAATTGAGCTGGCAGAAGAAAGAATTTGAGGATAGTTCAATAGCGTTTATGCAGTATGAACTGGAAGAAATAAGGATAAAAAATGTATGAACAGAGTCTCAGATACTGTCAGACACCATCAGTGTACCAACATATGCATAATAAGAGCCTCAGAAAAGGAGGAAAGGAAAAAAAAAAAGGAGCAGAAAAAAAATGTTAAATAAAGGCTTAAAACTTCCCAAATTTGATGAGAAATATTAATCTGTACACCCAAGAGACATACCATACTCCATGTAAGATAAACACAAGGAGATCCACATGAACACACATTATGGTCAAAAGATTACGGACAAAAGACAGAAAAATTTGAAAGCAATAAGGGAAAACATTACATATTACACANGCCTTGACCAGACGGACCTTTGTTGGCGAAGTAATGTCTCTGCTTTTTAATATGCTGCTTAGGTTGGTCATAACTTTGCTTCCAAGGAGTCTTTTAATTTCATGGCTGCAGTCACCATCTGCAGTGATTTTGGAGCCCCCCAAGATAAAGTCTGACACTGTTTCCACTGTCTCCCCATCTGTTTCCCATGAGGTGATGGGACCAGGTGCCATGATTTTAGTTTTCTGAATGTTAAGCATGTATACCTGTGGCCAATTCATGTTGATGTATGGCAAAAACCATCACAATATTGTAGTTATCCTCCAATTAAGTTAATTCAAAAAATAGAGCTGTCTTAACAAGAAATATTAAAGCCAGGTTCTTTAGACTGAGAAGAAATGACATCAGATTATCTAATCCACATGAAAAAAAGCACCAGGAAAGGTAAGATGAAGGTAATTATGAAAAATAGTATAAATGATTTTTATCTTATCTGACTTAAATTACATAAAATAATAAATTTATTGTATTGAGCTTATGACACCTACAGATACATATTCATGTGAATAATTGGACAAAGGATGGGGGAAGGAATGGAACTCTTGGAGTAAGGAAATGACAAAAATGATAATTTGAATCCACAAGAAGAAAGAGGACTGGAAATGCTAAATGCAAAGTTTAAAATGAAAGGCTCAAGTATGTTTTTTCTCTTCTCAACTTCTTTAAAAGAAAATTATATAAATCAGTATGACACTATATTGTCAGCTTTATAACATATACATAGATGTAGTATATATGATAATACAAAGGAGAGGAGACATAAAGCTATATCAGCAAGTTTTCTGTGCTTACTGGAATTAGTATTTATCCAAAGTATATCATGATATGTTAAGGTGGAGATTGTAATTCCTAAAGCAATCACTATAATTCAAAATTACACTGAAATTGAACAAAATAATTTATATGGGTCGTAGCTAATACTTAATAAAAGGCTGTAAGGGAAAGAATAGAGAAAAAGGTGTGAAACATTAAAAAAATTAAAAATGGTAAACAAATCTACTCATAATAAATGTGAATGGATTAAGCATATGTAGTTTTATATGCTGCATAATAAGTGATTACAAATCTAGCACCCCAAATCAACACACATTTATTATCTCACATTTCTGTGGGTCAGGGCTTCAAGCATACCTTAACTGGATTCTCTGCAAAGCTAATTTTTTTTTTTTTTTCAATTAAGATGTCAGTTGTGTTCTTATCTGGAGGACTGACTGTAAGATCCACTTCCACACTCACTAAGGACATCAGTAGAGTTCATTTCCCTGTGGTTATATCATAAGACTGAGGGATTTGACTGGTTGTTGACTAGAGGCTGCCTCGGCTCCTAGTGGCCACCCCTCAGTTCCTTATCACATGGGACTGTCAACATAGCTACTTCCTCAAAGACAGCACAGCAGAGCGTCTTAAGAAAGTCTACTAGCAAAACAGACTCTGGCCATCCTATCACTTTTGCCATATTCTCTTTAGAAAAAAATTTTTTTTTTCTTTTTAATTTGGCTGCCTGTGGTCTTAGTTGTGGCATGTGGGATCCAGCTCTCTGACCAGGAGTCGAACCCAGACCCCCTGCATTGGGAGCTCTGAGTCTTAGCCACTGGACCATGGGGGAAGTCCCTGCTACATTCTCTTGGTTAGAAACAATTCAAAGCTCCCAGAGACAGTCTCAAGGTGGGGGATAATAAAAGGTCATAAATATTAGAAGAAGATCATTGGGGGGTCATCTTAGAGTCTGTCTGCCACAGAGGGAACTTCCTTAACCTGATAAAAGAGTATTTATGAAAAACCTATAACTAATATCGAGTTGTTCACTCACTCAATTGTGTCCAGCTCTGCAACCCCAGGGACTGAAGCACGACAGACTTCTAACATTTTATTTATTTTTATTTTTTGGCTGTACTTTCACTGCTGGGTTTGATCCCTGGTTGGGGAACTAAGATCCTGCAAGCCTTGCTGCTCTGCCGAAAGAAAAGCATGTTGGAGAAAGCCTACATTTCTGTGAACAGATTTGGTAGAAACCAGGGCTTTGAGAACTCTGCCAGTGAGAGTTCAGAAGAAAAGGAGGAACATCTTATTGGAAACTAGAAAAGGGGTAAATCTTTGTTAAGTATTGATAGTAGTGGAAAGCTCAGCTAAATTATCCCCTGCAGTTATGGGGGAAGCAGAATTTTAAGAAATGAACCTGGTTATATAGCTAAGGAGATTTCTGAGCAAAGTGTTGGTGCGCAGAAAATTCCTGTTTAAAAAGTTCCTATTTATGTTACAATAACATGTCAGAGGAAGGAGATAAAGAGGGACCAGGGTTGGCTTATAAAAATTCTCAGACTCTCCAGATGACAAAAAGCCAGGAGGAGACGGAAAGGCGATGTCCTTTAGTTTTTTCATCTTTCGGCTCCATGTCCTTGTCCCAGGCTCTACCATCCTGCCTCAACCTCACTGTGGGCGTTTGAATCTTCTCCCCTTAAACTGCCAAACCATGGAAAAGAGCTTACTCTGAGGCAACTCTGACTCAATGGCTGTCTCATTTCCTCCAGAGCAGGGGAAGGGACCGCCCCTCCCAAATTCCTCATAGTAGTTTCTGGCTTAAACAATAATCCTGCTGGATTTATTTTAATTGGACATTTTATTTTCCCTCCAGTGTTTCAGATAAAATTAACCTATAGCATATGCATTAAAGGTGGAGGACGTGATGATTTGACATATGTTTGTACTGATAAAGGACTGCCAGTGTGACTGAAGGGACATTTTAAATGAGTGGCAGTTCATACCATAAAACCTGGAGGGGAGAAAAAAAAATCACCCCAGTGAGAACCTTATTTTTGTGTCATTATTGCCGATTTTCTCCCTAAATATGTAATTTTTTTTTCTTGCCCCACGGTCCTTATCAGGGAAAACGCCTAGTCCACTGGACCGCCAGGGGATTCCTTAATGCTCCGTGTTTTTTTGACATGGCTACCAATTCAGTTTTAATTATTTATCACGTTCCCCCACTTAACATATATATGGCTAAATTTTCCCAAGCTGCTAGTCACTTTTAACTTCTCCGTAGTTTTCCAAATACAGATTAACCTTTTTTGCATTTGGATGAGGAAGAAACCAAAGCTCCGAAGCGGAGAGGCCCGCCTAGGATCTGAAGTCCAAGCGGGTGGGTCCCGTCTAGACCTGGGCTACTGGCTGACTTGCTGTGGTATCGGCTATGCGGGATACCATATGCTGGGGCTTTCGTTTTCTCCAAATGTTCTTGCCCAGATGGTGTTTTCCTGACGAGCTTATCGCTGAGTGGTGCTCTGTGGTAGTTTCCACCCCACCCCTACTCTTTCTTGCGCTTTCGCGGTTCCAGTTTCTGTAAGGCGCCGCCCCAACTGCGGTCCAGAGCTGGAGTGAGGCGGGTGGTCTCTGACCTGTGTGCCGCATCCCAGCCGTGCTGGGGGCCAATCGGAACAGCTAAGGCGATGCCCCGGGCCCCTGTCCTCTTGCATTTCTTCCTGGCATTCCTGCCAGAGACACAAACCCGTGAGTTGGGAGCGAGGGGTGGCGGGCTGGGACAGTGGGAGAAGCCGAAACCGGCCGAGAGTGGGGTTTTTCAGAGCATTGGGAGCTCAGTGGTGACTCCAAAATCTTGGTGCAGGCCGTCACTGGCTTATTTGTGCGGGGTCTGTCAATAAGGGCAGCTAGTGTAAACAAGAGAAGGAAATGGCAACCCACTCCAGTTTTCTTGCCTGGAGAATCCCAGGGACGGAGGAGCCTGGTGGGCTGCCGTCTTTGGGGTCACACAGAGTTGAACACGACTGAAGCGACTTAGCAGCAGCAGCACCGATGTAAACAGGAAAGAAGTTGGCAGATCTCTGAACCAGATCAGAAGTCATAATTCTGTACTCTTGCTCAGAATAGATGTTCCTGGTTTCCCACTCCAGTTTTCTTGCCTGGAGAATCCCCTAGGATTTTGGTTGGCTACAATCTATGTGGGGTTGCAAAGAGTCGGACACGACTGAGCGACTGAACTGAACTGAACAGTCTATGCAGTCGTTCAGGACGGAGCGGCTAACACTTTAACTTTCATTTTTAAAGCCTTTCGAAGGGCAAAGCCAGAAGCAAAAATTTGGGATGGATGGTATCCAAGGTTTTAGATCATCTTTCTTGACAATTTCAAGTGTGTTTATTTATTTACAAAGTATGTATATGTTCCATTATACCAATACATTATGTAGAGTATACAAATTTACAGAAACAAATCCAAAAAGATGAGACAAAATATTTTGAATAACTTTAAAAAAATTGATCACAGGCTTGATTAATGACAGAGCTGAAAGAAGATAACGTGGCACACACATTCATCTTTTATTCATATGGAGAAAGGGCTTCACTGACATATTCGTTTAAGTATGGCTCATCCAGGAAAACCCCATAGGGGCAAGATGCAAAACTCTGACCACCCACTAAGCTACAATTTTTGTATTTTCCTATATGCAGATTGTTTGCAAAACCATTGTTCCCAGACATAGGTCTCCTAGCACAGTTTCTCAGCAGCTGTTGTTGCACTCCAGACTCTAGAAGTGTACCAAGAAAACCAGAAGGAAAGCCAGACTCATGACTTAATTACTGGGTAAAATGTTTCCAGACCAACAAGTAAAGCCTCATGGAAAATGAAACAAATTCTTGACATATCTGAATTTATGTGAATTGACATATCTGAAACATATCTGGCAGGGTGAATTTTTTTGTCTTATCTATTTCTGAGCAAGAGAGAAGGCGAAATGGGTTCTAAATAAAGCTTTGCTACAAAGCTGCAGTTTTCTCACCTCTAACATGGAATTTAAGCAGCTACTTCATATAGTCATTAAAAGAATTAAATAATAGCAGACCACAAAGGAAATGCTCCAACAATGATAATTTTTAGGAAACAATTTCTATGCAGGCATAAGTGGTATGGTGAGTGCTTTAATAGGAGTATGGTGTAAACATTTCTATATTTATACATTTCCTATTTGCCTAAATGGAAAGTCACCCAGCCTATGGCTGCTTGGCTGAGCCTCAGAAAGAATAAAGGGGAGTTTGCATTCAGTGTCTTCCTTTTGCTCTTGTTTTTGTTGTTGTTTTCCCACTCCACAATCATTCCCTGGAGTTCAGTGTCTCTGAACATCTAACCACAGCCTTGCTTCCTGCATAGCCCCTGTTAGGTGCAGGGTCACAGTAGGGATCAGCAGAGAGCAGATAGGGACTGCTGGCTTGCATGTCCACTGGGTCCTCAGGAATGACCTCTGAACTGCCTAGGTGCTTCTCAATGGAGTCTAGATCTGAGTGGGGTCAGAGTCAGTTCACAGTGAGAGGGACTTTGTTCATCAGAGAAGGAGCCCATGCCAAGGGGTAGAAGTGCAGAGGTTCTTCTGAAAAAAGAACAATGCTGTTAAAAACAGAAATGCTATGAATAAATAATTTACAGAAGAATGAATTCAACTGGCAGATAAACATGGAATTATGTTCAATACAACTTCATAAATTAAAATGTATATTTTAACTGCCATTTATAGCAGTGTGACTAGACCTAGAAAATATTATATTTAGTGAAATGTCAGACAAAAATACTATTTGAGATTACTTATATATGGAATTTTGGAGAAGGCAATGGCACCCCACTCCAGTACTCTTGCCTGGAAAATCCCATGGATGGCGGAGCCTGGTAGGCTACAGTCCATGGGTCACTGAGAGTCGGACACGACTGAGCGACTTCACTTTCACTTTTCACTTTCATGCTTTGGAGAAGGAAATGGCAACCCACTCCAGTGTTCTTGCCTGGAGAATCCCAGGGACAGGGGAGCCTGGTGGGCTGCTGTCTATGGGGTCATACAGAGTTGGACACGACTGAAGTGACTTAGCAGCAGCAGCAGCAGCATATATGGAATTTAATACAAATGAATGTACCTACAAAACAAACAGACTCACAGACCTAGAAATAAAATTTGAGATTACAAAGAGGAGAGAACAGAGGAGGGGCAAATTGGGGATGTGGGTTTAGTAGATACAAAGTAAGTAAAGAGTAGATAAGCAACAAGGATTTGTTGTATAGCACAGGGAATTATACACACTATCTTTAATCTGTTATGGAATATGTCTTTCAGAATACTGAATCACTATGTTGTACACCTGAAATCAACATGATGTTGTAAAGCAATTGTACTTTTTAAAAATTTGCACTTCGTTCTCATCCCCCCCACCCCCCCACCCTGGGGCCATGGAAAAATTGTCTTCCATGAAACTGGTTCCAAAAAGGTTCGGACTACTGCCCTAGCTGGTAATGTGGGTAGGCCTTATCTGATCAGTTGAAGGCCTTAAGGGGAAGACAGGTCTCCTGTCTACTTCCAGACTGAATTCTACTTTCAGACTGCCTCTGGACATAAACTGCAATATAGTGTCTTCCTTAGGTATCCAGCATGCAGCTCTGCCCTGCAGATTTAGACTTGCCAGCCCTGTAAAATTACATGAGCTAATTCCTTAAAGTAAATCAATCTTACTCTGTATATATGTAAATATATTATTGTTGCTGCTGCTGCTGCTAAGTCGCTTCAGTCATGTCCGACTCTGTGCGACCCCATAGACGGCAGCACTGTACAAATATTTATATGTGTATATTGTTGTTGTTACATACATATAAATATTTGCATAGTGCATACATATATATATTTATATGTGTATACATATGTGTGTACATTAATTTATTCAAATTCTCCCAGTGCATACTCTGTGTGCAGTTTAAATTCACTTCTGCAGAGGGTTGTAATTGTCTTTTCATTGTTTTATGTTGTGCCATGTCTCCTATGAGACACACGCTCATTCCCTAGATCCTCATGCAGTAAATTCTGGAGCTCGCTCTGACCCACTGTCGCTTGTTCTCACCTCAGGATCACACTCTCTGCAGTATTTCTACTCAGTTGTGTCTGAACCGGGCCCAGGAGTCCCTTCATTTATGGCTTTTGGCTTCGTGGACAACCAGCCCTTCATTCGCTATGACAGTGAAGAGATGAAGGCAAAGTCTTGTGTTCACTGGTTGAGGGAGGAGCCAAGTTACTTTGATGATGAGACCAAGATCTTCACAAGTCGGATGAAGATTTTCCACTTAAGTCTGAGGAATGTGCAGCGATATTACAACCAAACCAAGGAGGATGGTCTGAACAGAGCGCTGGCACAAAAGCAAGCAAGTAGGTGCCTCAGAGAAAGCAGAGGGAAGTGGTGCTTGTCACTTCCTACCAATCCCCAGCGGTGAAAGGCTGTCTACAAGTGTTCCATAGGGTCAGGCTGGGGCAGAAGAACTTGTACAAGTTATCACCTGAGAATGAAAGCTGAGCTGGTCTGGTCACAATGGCGTAGGGTCTGTGTGACAAGAATTAATAATTAATAGATTAATTAAGCAGTTTTATTGGGTCATGGATATATGCTGAAAATCTTTTGAGTGCTAGAAATGGGGATCCAGAAAAGTATAAACTGATGTTTGTCTTCAAAGAGCTTATAATTCATATGGGAAGGTACTCACACTTCTGTGAAAAGTTTTTTGACCCTTCACTGCATACCCAGCGATGTCAAAGACAGGAACCTCCTTAAATGCCATAGTTTACTGAGATTCATAGATGAGATACCCCAGTGGTCAGAGTTTCATGAATGAGGCAGAACTTCATATAGAACCTGGTGGATGTGTAGTACTTAGGTCTATGAAGAACATAAAAGATGTTCAAAGCAGTAGGAAATTAGGGTGGAGCAAGGCGTGGGGTAGGATTTGTCTTTGTGAGCTCAGGAGATGGATTGAAATTTAATCATTTCTAGTTAATGGCTCTTGAGAGTTTAGGTCTGTTGAAACAAGTTTATAAAGGGCCTTGAAGCCCAATCAAGGCATAAGCCAGTGAGAAGTATAATTCAAGCTGAATACTGAGGCTGCTCAACTTTTACCAGTTGATCCTTCTAGGGACATGAATTCAACAAAGGTTTATCCGATGGTTACTTTACAGGCACTGATGTAGACCCTGCCTTTCAAGGGCTCACAGTATAAGAAGAGAGTGATGGTACACAATAAAGTTAGAGTATACAAGTGTTAGACTAGGAACTTTAGCTGGTAATCTGTGGAAACCCAGAAGCGTGTGTGTTGAATCCAGGCTGCAGTGATCTCAGATTTATTCATATTTGACTTTGAAATTCATTTGAGAAATTTTTCAGCAGTTTGGGCTTGTTGATGCTATTTGCTTTCTCTAGTGTCTTGTGTTGTTGTCCTTTAGTCGCTAAGCTGGATTGCAAGAGTCGGACACAGCTTAGTGACTAAATAGCAAGTGACCTGACTTAGCGATTAAACAACAGTATGAATATTAGTCTGCTTGGTCTACCATGACAAAATACCACAGACTGCATGATCTAAGCACCAGAAATTTATCTTCTGACTGTTCGAGAGACTGGAAATTCCAAGGTCAAGGTTCCACAGGGTTCTCTGTGGTGAGGGCTCACTTCTTGGCTTGCAGTCGGCTACACTCTCTCTTTCCTTGGTGTGTGCCCGTGGAGGGAGGGAGAGATCTCCTTAACCCCTCTTGTCCCTGTTGGATTAGGGCGCCACTCTCATGACCTCATTTAAACTGAATTACTTCCTAGAATCTCCGAATACAGTTACATCAAGGGTTAGGGGTTCAACATATGAATATTGGAGGGATAAAATTTGGTCCATAGCTCTCAAGGAAAACTACTCAGGACACTGTGCCCTCCTGTGTTAATACTGTGAAGTGTGGTCCTGTTTTCAGGAACTTTAGCTTAGAATCTGAGGCTGTTAGCCTAAAAGAGACCTGTTAGGTCATAATCTAACCCTCTATTTATACAAGATAAACATAGAATGAATAACTTGCCCAGATGACACAGTTCATGGCAGAGTTCAAATCTGTAACTCCCAATCCATGGCCTTTTCAATACCTCCTGGGAGCAACCATAGACCATTCCTTACAGCAGAACTGACTGTAAGTAAAAGAGATTGTTATTAGGGCAAAACTAGTTTGTCTATGGAATTTGAATGTCCTCTAAGGAGAAGATAAGAGATGGGAAGGTATGAGGGGCTGGCACCATGGGTGGGAGGCCTTGGGGGCAGACTGTGCCTGACTGATACCACTGTCCTGGGGCTGGGCAGGTCCCCACACCCTCCAGTTCACCTACGGTTGTGAGCTCCTGGAGGACGGCAGGACCACGTGGCACTGGCAGTATGGCTATGACGGTGAGGACTACCTGAGCTTGCATATGGACCCTCTGCAGTACACAGCAGCCACATTCATTGCTCAGTACACCAAACAAAAATGGGAGGCCGGTGGGAACTACGAAGAGAGAGACAAGAACTACTTGGAGAAGGAGTGTATCCTGTGGTTGTGGAGATACTTGACGTTTGGAGGGGAGACCTTGAACCGCACTGGTAATGACTTCACACAGCCCACCCACTCAGCCCTTCCCGCATCCCCAGCTTGGGCCATTTTCTCTGCAGAGTGTGGGTGAGGGTGTCTCTTCCAGAACTGACTCAGCACAGGGGTGTGAGATATTTAATGTGGGATGGCTGGGGCCAATGTGCTGATGATGACTTCCCTATAAGTCACAGATGTGGAGTGGGGGGCTTCCTATTTTGAGTCTCCTGGGCAGTGCCATCTGATCCATCCATTCTTTATTTTTCATTTTTTTAAAATTTATTTTGCTGAAGTATAGTTGATTCACAATGTTGGATTTTTGGTTTTGATTTTCTTTTGACCACACCTCACAGGATGTGGAATCTTACTTCCCTGACCAAGAATTGAACCCAAAACCCCTGCAGTGGGAGCATGGAGTCTTAACCACTGGACCACCAGGGAAGTCCCCTGAGCCACTCATTCTTATTAGTGCCAGGGAAACTACTCTGAGGAGGACACAGAACTGCTTCACTGAATCTTGGAGATTTTTCTTCCTTTTGGCACTTTCCCACTAGATACACACCTGTATCTAGCAAACATTGACCAAAGACTTGATAAAAGAGTCAAGCGGCTTTGAAGGGGCTCTTATTCTGGAGGAGAACGTTAGACTGAGTTCCCACACCCTTGTCATGAAGCTGGTTCAGCTTACGTGGGTCCCTCTACCCTTAGATAGAGGAAGTCCCCTTTCTCCCACTGGTTGGCAGATGAGCCATCAGGAGTTGTGGTGGGTTGGTCTTTGGAGTCGACGCTACTCAGCAAACCCTTGCCTGAGCCCTCCCTGCTTTGTGTACCACAGAGCCCCCCAAAACATACATAACTCATCACCACATCTCTGACCGTGAGGTCACCCTGAGGTGCTGGGCCCTGGGCTTCTACCCTGCGGAGATCTCACTGACCTGGCAGCGCAATGGGGAGGACCAGACCCAGGACATGGAGCTTGTGGAGACCAGGCCTTCAGGAGATGGAACCTTCCAGAAGTGGGCAGCCCTGGTGGTGCCTTCTGGAGAGGAGCAGAAATACACGTGTCATGTGCAGCACGAGGGGCTTCAGGAGCCCCTCACCCTGAGATGGGGTAAGGAGGGGGATGGATGGTCAACCTTATTATCAGGTAATCAGGAGCCTTCAGGAGAACTTCAGCAAGGTTAGGATTCATGCCTGAGGTCAGGGCCCCTTTCCTTTCTTCCACAGAACCTCTGAAGATCTCCGTTCCCATCACAGGCATCATTGTTGGCCTGGTTCTCCTCGTGGTCATTAGTGCTGTGATCTGGAGGAAGATGTGCTCAGGTAGGGAAGGGAGGGAGTGATCTGAGTTTTCTTGTCTCTGGGTTTCAAACCCAGGTAGAAGTTTGCCTGCCTCGTTACTGGAAAGTAACCTCCACACACGTGTGCTTGGTAAGTCTGGAGCTTTTTGCTTGCACTTATTCTTTGTAAGGCACATGTGAAAATGGAGACCAGTATCAACATGATGAATCTGGTGATGGGGACACTGAAGGTCAGGGAAGGTCACTGTGAGGACAGGCCTCTGGGAAGGTGGTTGGTTCAGGCCCTGCACACCTTCTTTCTTCATGGTTTTGGTCCTGCCCTGTGTTTTCAGTCACAGTTCTGGAAACTTCCCTGGGGTCTGGGACTAGGTGGTTTCTTTAGGGGCTCATGACCTGTCTTCTGCCTGACTCCTCACAGGATATTATCACTCTCCAAGTTGGAAAAATAGAATCTACTCTCAGACTGCAAGTAAGTACCGAGCACAGGTAGGGTCTGATGGCAAACCCTGAGATCCTTGGAATAGTGCACATGGGAGCCGATGGGGGAGCTCACCCACCCCATGATTCCTTCTTTAACCCCATCTCTGGACTCCCGCCAGGTTCTGGATTGTTCTCCCCCAGGCAGCAACAGTGCTCTGGGCTCTGATGTTCTCACTGATCCTAAAAGTGAGACTCTTAAGGGACCCCCAATGGGGGAGAACTTGGGGGCAGAGGGGACACATGGGGTGATGGAAATTCTTTGATGAGACATTTTGAGCGGGGGGCGGAGGGGTGCTATTGAGAATGACCGCTTATGATGATTGACCTGAATTTGTTCATGATTATTTTCTTTCACAGTCTAAGAGAATGGCTTTGTCTGGAACCGAGTGATACAAGGTTTGTTGATGCCCCCCACCCTCCTCCTTTGTGATGAGGTGGGACTGGGCAATCTCCATCCTTGTCTTAACTCCATGTTACACTGAATTGCAACTTCTTACTCCTTATTGAAAATAGGAATCTGGATATGAATTCATTTTTTCTATTTATTTATTTATTCTTGGCCCTGAGTCTTTGTTGCTGCCACTGGCTTTCTCTAGTTGTGGTGCATGGGCTTCTCATTACAATGGCTTCTGTTCAGTAGTAGTGGCTCACAGACTTAATTGCTCCATGGCATGTGGAATCTTCCCGGGGCAGGGATCGAACCTGTGTCTCCTGCATTGGCAGGTGGATTCTTAAACACTGGACCACCAGGGGAGTCCTGAATTTGTTTTTTATGATTCTTGTCATGAGGTGGGGCTGGTGGGTTAATTAAAGGCTAGGAAGATTCTTAAATTTTGCGAGAAATGAATGGAAGTGCTGAGAACCTTTTAAAATCTGTGTGTTTGCTATGCTGACTCTGTTGCAGGTGGGGCAGGAGAAGGCTGTGAGGAGCTGAGTGTGGACGGGGCCTGGGCCCAGTCAGAGCATCATGGGCTTTGATATGGTCGCTGCTGTTCTCATCTTCTCAACTCCTTTGTCCTTGTCTCTTCAGTAGAACCTTGTCTCACCAAGACCTGTGATCACAAGGACTGAGCCATCACCTGAACCTTGTCTTGTCTTCTGGACTGTGGCCAGTGAGGACCTTATGTGGCTGGGTCAACCAGGACTCAGGACTGGGTCTGGTCCTCAGTCCTCGTCTTTTAGGTGTTGATTTCTTTTTTCTTTATTTCTATAGAGAATTACTCCTCCTCTTGTTCTTGCATATGAATTCTAGTCTTAATTTCCTCTGGGTGCCCCCCCATCTCTACAGGAGCAGGAGTAACTTTTGCCTGTTATTGTCCCCACAAGGCTCAGGAGGCCCCTGCTCACTGTAGTGCCTTTGGTCTACAGAAATGACTCATCCAGCTCTTACCCTCCTTCCAAGACTGTGTTCTGTGCTCTTAGCTCTAGAAGTGCTAGTGCTGGCTCAAATCCAGACTCATGGATTTATAAAGCTGAGTCTAATTTAGACTTGCAGTGGTTTGGGAAATAGGACCCATAGGTCAGGGACCATTGCTTTCTCGAGTGGGACATGAATTTGTGTGCTGTGGTGTGCAGGAGGGTTGCTGTGGGAGGAAGGAGCTGGGGGAGGGAGGGAGAGCGGCACTTGTGAGAAAAGCAAGGCAGCATTGACACCAGTCAGAGTGAACGTTGTGCTGTAGCTGCTGCAAGACAGCATGTGGCCTTAGGCTACGTTAATAAAGATACTGCCTTTAGAATATGGACTTCCCTGGTGACTCAGATGGTAAAGAGTCTGCCCACAATGCAGGAGACCCGGGTTTGATCCCTGGGTCACGAAGGTCCCTTGGAGAAGGAAATGGCAATCCACTCCAGTATTCTTGCCTGGAAAATCCCATGGACAGAGGAGCCTGGTGGGCTACATTCCATGAGGTTGCACAGAGTCCAACAGAATACAGAGGTGCTGTCCACTTATCATTCATTCACCTAATCTATGTGTTGTGTCAGATACATCACACATTATTTTTGTATCTAAGAAATTTCATAAGACCAAAGTCAGGCAAAGTTATTGGCCTGTGGAGCTTGCTCTAGTGAGAAGGGGCAGAGTGTTCATTATGAGCCTAGTAAGTGAGGGAGTGTTTCCCTTAGAGGTTGGTAAGTGTTCTGAGGAAGGTGACCCAGAGTATGAGTGTGTGGGGACAGGGAAGGTGGCTGTGTTACTAGGGTGGTGAGTGGGCCTCATTGAGAAGCTGACCTTTGAGTAAAGATGTGAAGGACATGAGGGAATGCCCACAAGGATGTCTGGGAGATGTTCTCTCCAGGCAGAGGAGCTTCCGTACAAATGCAGAAGGGCAGGAGAGTGTCTGTGTTCAAGGAAGAGTGAAGAGGAGGCAGGTGTGGCTGGTGGAGCAAAGAATTCAGATGAGGTCTCATGTGCGCCCAGATCATGTGGGCTTTAAGAATATTAGATTGACTTTTCTCTGAGGAAGACAGTAGCGCTCCAAGACAGTTTTGGGAGAAGAGGGACCTGGTATGACTTCTTTTTAGAATCATCAGTCTGGCTGCTGTGCTGAGGACAGAGCTAAGAAGTGAAGGGTGAACAAGGCAGTAGTGGAGACTGTAGACATAGTGCAGTGTCCTGGCTGGAGATGTTGGTGCTTGTCTCACGTATGCGCAGGGAAAATATTGCAGAGTGACCAGAACTGGATCTATCTAAAGATGGACTTTACAGCATTTCCTAATGGATTAAGTCTGAGTTGTGAGAAAGAGGACACCCAGACTTTCAGACTATGCAAGTGGCTCAGTGGTAAAGAATCCACCTGCCAATGCAGGAGACCCAAGAGTCGTGGGTTCGATCCCTGGGTCTGGAAGATTCCCTGGAGAAGGAAATGGCAACCCACTCCTGTATTCTTGCCTGGAAAACCCCATGGATAGAGAAGCCTGGTGGGTTATAGTCCATGGGGGTCACAAAAGAGTTGAAAACGACTTAGCAACTAAACAACAACAAAAAAATATGGGTATTCATTTGAGGAAATGCTGAATTTGGATGCCTATTAGAAATTCAAGTTAGGTTGTCAGTTGGGACACGTTTGGAATTTAGGAGAGATGTTTTGGGTGGAGAAATAGATTTTGGAAGTGACACCATATAAATGCTATTTATAAGCTGAGGACTGCTGAGAGTGATTAGAAGAGGAAGGAACAAGGGCTGAACCCTGGACCTCACAGCACTATACAGTCTGATCAGATCACGCACCTGAGCAGACTGCACAATTCTGACACACGTCTAGACAGCACAGAGACCAGTTAGTCCCCGATTTACCTGTGCGTGAGAATTCCCCGGACATCTCATTAAGTTCCAGTGGTCCAAAGTAGAATGTAAGAATCCGAACTTAAAACAAGGTTGGTGCTGATGCTGCTCATCTTCAGAGCACACATTTAGTAGCAAGAACATAGAGCAGGATTCTCACATGGCTGTTCATCAGCCTCACCTGTAGGCTTGTTGAATAAGCAAGTCTTGGGCTCTGTGCTCAGCTTTCTGAGATGGTGGGTCTAGAGAGAGGCTTGAGTATTTTGCAGCAGTACCTATAAGCAGTCTTAGGTCTTAGCCAGGTTGTGGACGACTGCCAAGGGTCAGTGATCAGAGCGCTCAGGTTGGGGAAGCGTCTTAAATCTACAATTAAATGTTTTTTCCTGGGAAGAAAAAAACAAGACATCTGCTGGGACATTTATGTTGTTTGCCCTACCCTGGGATATATAGCCAGGTGGAAAACTGAGGAAGTGGTTATCAGCTCAGCATAAAGAACATCTCTGAATGCTTATTCTCTGAAACTATTCCCTGCGTTGACTTCTCACTCACATCTTGGTGCAATCAATGCATTCCAAGTTTTTCTAATTTAAAAATGTATATGTGTGTGTGTGTGTGTATGTGTATGTGTATGTGTGTGTACATATGCTTACATACTTGGCTCATTTTATTTCAGGGACTGAGTCAGCACATTCAGGAACAAAATTCGTGATGTCATTCTAAACTGAATTACATACAGGAACCACTGCTCTGTTGCTGGGCACAGTTACCTTTTTTACGACGACACCCCTGATGCTGGACACTCAACTATGTGACTAGAACTGCTATCACTATTGCTGTTGGCAACTGAATGTCACTACTGCCACTCACCACCTTTGCCAAAAGCCTTGAGCACACACCCAGCAAATATGTGTCATTATGTCCTGAGTCACAACTCAGCATGTGTCATGTGACTAAGAGTTCCTCATCTTTCCCAGCTGTATATTTGGGGAACTGAGTTTTCCTCTCTCTCATGGAAGGATGTAGTCTGTCTTTCAAGACTCTTTCATATTGCAGCTGATATCACAGAAATACAAAGGAGTATGAAAGACGACTATGAATGATTATACAGCAAACAAACTGGAGGAACTAGAAGAAGTGGATGAACACAACCTACCAAGACAGAATCATGAAGAAACAGAGTAGCTGAACAGGTCAATAACAGGTAAGAAGACTGATTCAATAATCAAAAACCTCCCAGCGCATGGGAAAGCTTGACAGCTTCATGTAAATCAATGAAATTAGAGCATTCTCTCACAACATATGCAAAAATAAATTTAAAATGATTTAAAGAACTAAGTGCAATACTTGACACCATACATCTCTTAGAAGAGACTATAAGCAAAACATACTGCTGCTGCTGCTAAGTCACTTCAGTCATGACCAACTCTGTGTGACCCCATAGACGGCGACCCACCAGGCTCTACCGTCCCTGGGATTCTCCAGGCAAGAACACTGGAGTGGGTTGCCATTTCCTTCTCCAATGCATGAAAGTGAAAAGTGAAAGTGAAGTCGCTCAGTCGTGTCC